AATTTCACAGACCGGAGTCAAGCGTTTTAAGAATCCTCATCGTTACGAAAAAGAACACACACACACACACACACACATACAGACACACTTGTAGACTATAGCGACGCTTTAGAGTTATAATGATTCAATTAGAAACACTGCCTGCCGATTTTATACGATTCGATTCGAAAAACGTGGACGTGTTTGCTACATACTTTTTGCATCCACTCTGCACACAAGTACAACAGATTGTTTTCTTCACTGATTTGAAACGGTGCTGCGGTCGAGAAGCTCGGAACTTAGAATTATTACACTTAGCAAGGAGTCAAGACTAGGAATGGGATCGAATATTAAATTCTTATAAATAATCTGTCTAAAGATGTTCGTTTCACAAATCAGCAGCAGCCCGATCCCATGCCTAGTGGACATCTCGTCCAAACGACAGACACACGAGACAGAAGTTAGAGACCAGCACAGCTTCTAACTTAACACGACGCTTACGCGGCGTCCTGTTTGTTCTAACAGGTGATAGTCTCGTCTCCCGGTTCACCTAGCAGCAAGGAGTCGGTGGCGTCGCCGGAGCCGATTAATAAGAGCCTCCTGGGCGGTCTGGGACTCGACAAGAGCAACGGTGTGGTGGCCACTACTACTGCAGGGAGCACCGGCCCCGGTACCGAGCAGATCACGCCGACCAGCAGCGTGGACACCGAGGAGGGTAACCCGACACACGAAGAGGGCGAGAAGGGCGTCGAGGGTGACGCGGAGGGCAGCGACGACGACCGACACCAGCACGTACCCAAGACTCATTAAAAGAATCGCGCCCTTGGACAGCTTGACCGATTTTTAAATATTTTGTTTCGAGAGGAAACTCTCGGAGGAGACAGTGTTTGGGCATTGAAATCGCGAACACCCTAGTAGCTAGTTAGATTAGGATTCGTTCTCGTTTGAAAATTAGTCGTTGGTCGTTATAATTAAGACTCTCCGAAGTCACTTCGCGGTCTGTCCGTAGTAAATTTGTTTGCCCTCAAAGGGTCTCGATTGCCCAGTACGGAGGAACGTAGTTCAATCATCGTAAACGTGTTAGAGGTATAATTATTTTTTTTTTTGATCGAGAGCAGATCGATTCGGTCGCCATTAAATGGCACAGGCGTGTTAACGAGTTTTTCTTGAAACTGAAAACCAAAGATTCTCGTGGTGTGTCGATTAAAAGGTCGAAGAAACGAAGAAGGTGTGTGTTTCTACTTCTGATCTATCCAACGCGTTGACTGCTTTCGATTTCTCGTTTCGAAGGGAACCGAAGAGTTTTTTAGTCAGTTTGAATCTAGTCGGATAACTTTTATTTCCTCGTTGTTGCACTGTTGGCTGTGTTAGGAAACTGATAGTTAGATTCTCTTCGTTGTGCGACGTTGTGTTTTCGAAATGTTTATTCACGTTTTTGGCGGCAGTCAGCGCGTCCGATCTTTTCTACCTTCTTTTTTATATTATTATTTTTTTCGACGTGCGGGGGACGCACGTTACGAAACCAAGGCTGAACATTGTTGTCGCCAGACGCACAATAAAAGCGATCGACTGTTTCCCAGAGACGAAACGAAACGCGCATAATGGGACCACTGCGAATATTAAAACGAGAATAATGAAGGAGGAAGATAGAATCTTCGTAGAAGAAACGAGAGCTGAAATTTACGATCTGACGACTGAAAAAAAAAAGCCTTTCGCCATTTCTCTTTTTGTATGATTCGTCGGCTAAAAGGAGTAACGAACACACTCTCTCACACACACGTATGCAAGGAGGAGAGGAAAACTGGTTAGCAGGGTTTAGCAAAGCTGAGAGGATTTGGCTGCGAACTTTATCAAAGACTGTACAGGTTCCTAGCTTGAAACTTGCACAAAACTGATACCGAGACGCGTTTGGTCACCTTCAACAATTATTTTCTGAATCCTCGACTTCTTTTCCATTTTCCGATCCGTCAAGCTCGAAAAAGAACTCGTACCCCGCAACTGCACAAATCCACGAGAAAGACCGAGAGAAAGAAACAAGTCTGGAAGCTTTGATGAGAGAAGAAGAAAGGAAGGGTACGAGCCGTGGCTCTTGCAGATTTAATAATTCACACCCTCGGCTCGCAGAGTTCAAGGGTGAAGTCGGGAGACGCTGAGGACCGATCACACTGAAGAAAATTCACCAAGAACACACACACACGTGCATACGTAGAGGAACAGGAGCGAAGATAAAAGGAATAACACAGACACAACGGTCGATTTATATACAATATACTATATATATACATATTATATATACACACGTAGGCTAGTCACGATATACATGTGCTTTTGATAAAAAAACTATTACGTAGAGGATTAGCTAGCCCTCGTATACAAAACAGGAAAGGAAGACGAGTGCACCGGGCGTGAAGAACCGAAGGATGGAAAGACAGAGGAAGCGGAGGAGTGCACGGAAAGCGACGATATTATAAATAATTATACATAATACGCAGCACAGCTGGAGCCTGGCTCCGCGACTTGTACATGATGACAATAGTAAAAAAAAAAAGGGAAAATACCGAACGAAAACTGAAAGCGACGGGAGTAAATGAATAAAAATAGGATCGGACAGAGTGGAGTCGAGACTCACCGAGAAACGATAATAATTAAAACTTGTAAAACGACTAAAAGCGTAGCCAGTATTAAAATAATCGCGTGTACGCGATGGAACGAGCCGGGGTGTCGCGTGCCCCGGCGGTTCGTTTGTTCTACGATCTCGTCGACGGGGACACGAGTGCGACTACGTCACTGTTATCGCTATCACCTAATATAGTTAGTCGATACGATATTGTTCCTAACGCGCAGTAGAATTTCCCGGAAATAAGTGATTATTAGGCTGCGGATTCTTAAGCAACATGAAACATTTAAAAGAGAGAATTGATACACATGATTTAAATGTCATAGCATATGCTTGCGACATTGAACGCACTGTTCAAAATTCAGCACACTTGCGTCTTTTATAAATGCCTAAGAATCTTCAGTCTAATCATTATTTATCGATTACTCCAGTTCATAATTTACTGGACAGTCACAAAGATGATATTGAAAAGGATATAAATGAATAAAATCTGTAATGGAGTTTATTTAACATTCGATTTTTTATTACTTACAATAGTAAATCGATGTCTGTTTAGGAAATTGTGAACAGGGTCGCAAGTGGAGAAATTCTGCCCCACGATTGCGCGTTGTCTGCGTCTTCCAATTAAGACTCGTCTCACGTGAGAGGATTTCGACTTAGCTCAGGCATTAGATTGTCAAGGAGCAGACGCGTAACGAAGGTGGCTTATAGAAAAATAACGTCGCGGCGACGAGAGCCGTATTATCAGTACGATCATATCAACAGACGGTTCGAACATCTGCTGTGCGTTGGTAACAATATACATCTTAATAATAATATATACGAATGTACACGGTCACCGGTGATCCCGGCGATTCTAAATACGAATCGACTCGGTTCTACCTTTAAGTATTCTCGTTGGTCGACTGAAGAGTCACGGGAATAGATTCCCGTGGATTGAAACGGTTATTTTTCTCGTTCTCCAAGTTAAACGACAAATTGCGACGAACTATATCGCGATAGCTTTTTAATAAAAAAAAAAGAGAGAGAGAGAGAGATAGGGAGGAGTCAGTTTTTTCATATTAAGCATCGTCGACGAAGTCATCGTGCTCGACTAATTTATAAATAATGTATAATACCTCGTATATGGAATAACGTTAGAATCGCTGCACGTTTCTCGGCCCTTTGGAGACGCGTGAAAATCTAGTCCCTCTGATCTATTTATAACGATTATCACGAAATTTCGTTTCGTCACGTGTTAAGGAACAATCGTGCGCATCGATGACAATGTTTAATGAAAGTACGCTGCTGCTAAGAATATTTAGGCCTTCAAAGGGTTCGCTACTGCTTTTTCTCTACTCGTGTCCTCTTGAGTGAATGCGGTCCCTACATAAAAAAAAGCGCACCGTTCCACGTGTCGCAATGGCGTTCAACGAATCACATAGGCACAATTAAAGACGAAATCTTGCGAAATGTCGTTTTAAACGAAACAGAGAGAACACCGTTGCGACGACGTGTATCTGCGCGCGTGTGTGAAAACTGACGCGTGTAACGAGTAAGCGTGCTCTAGTAAAGCGTCGAAGAATGTCAAAGAAGATGTCGGCGAACTGGGGGCGAGTCATAGCCGAGAATCGAATCCGAGGATCGCGTGTTAGCTCAGTGTACCATAATTCGCGTAGCCACAACCCTGATCCATCCTGTATCGAGGCCACCGAGCCCCCGACCCTCCCCCGACTGATTTTTCACGTCGTCGTTCGATATGCAAGCTCGATGGAACGCCGGATCACCTTCTGCGACAATTTTTAAGCATTGGTCTACCAAGGAAGTGACTTCAGCTTCTGCGAAGCAAAAAACCCAAATTACTTTCGCGTCGATTCAACGAAACGAGTGAAAATTGTTTAGCCAGTATTCAGAGTCGTTGCTTATTTTTAAGATCGTCTTAAGCATTCGCTTAAGTCCCTTTTTTATGTACAAGACAGGAACTGGAAACGTGGGATAGATAATTCTGAATCCCGGCCTTTGTTCTATTCGTAGTAATGATAATCGTTTTTTTAACTTGAGAATTTCGTTTCGTGTACTTGATTCGATGATCTCGGGATCCGGCATTCCTCGACGTTCCTAACTTTAACGATTAACGATTAAGTATAGTTACCGTTAATTATATTATACATATACGTGAAAGCACACTGCCGCAATTTTGTATGATTGACTGTTGTTATACATACCTAATTACCTTACATATTACGCTGCGTATACATACGTAATTATCGATCGAGACACGAGTCGAATGCTACACGCGTCTTTGCAAAGGATCACCGAGTCGTCGACACGTATCCCCCAGCGTTAGGCAAAATGAATGTTCCTTCTATCGCTCCCTCTTCCTATTCGCTTAACAATCTATCCTGAGACACGGCACGTGATCAAAAGGATCGAACGATTATTTAATTAAAAAGAGTATTCGATATGAAAGTTATTTATTGAATGACAATTAATTTCGATGTTTAGTCATTTTTAATTCATTGAATCGCGCGAACCTTTTAATCACGCCGGGTCAACCAACTGAAAGCAGAACGTGACAATCAGTTTTGAATTAACTTTCCCTATGACGAGAATGATTCTTGCGCAACGAAGACGGCTCGGAGATCCCTTGAGAGACGCCGCAACCCCTTGGACAGTAAGAGCACAAAGAACTGAGCCTGATATTTAAGGATTTATTGGCTATACAGTCAATCCCAAAAGTTTATGCACTTTAGAAATGCATTTTTTAAAAAGAAATCAGACG